TTTTCTCTATCCTAAACCGAGTTTTTGTCCGCCGATATGTTGATAATGAGAGTGCGAAAAAAATTAGGAAAGTCGCGCTGCATTCAATGTACCTCACAATTACCAAACATCACGGCCTTGTGCAGCCGTTACCAGATGGAAAATTAATAAATGGTTTACATATTCGAAAAGAGCTGACCTTGGACTATCTTATTCCGAGTTTTCGTCCGTCAAGATCTGTCAGCGTCTGTCAAAAAAACGCCCCTGAAAAGGAGCCTACAGTTGGCAACAAACTTTACTTTTGTATTTCCATCTATGTACTTTTCGGTCGGATATCTTTGTTATTTATAACGCTAGCGAAAAACTAAGCACACGGTTGGAAACCTTGGTCATTTCTCTATCTTAAACCGCTATTTTCCTCCGCCGATATGTTGATAATGAGAGCAAAAAAAAATAAGAAACGTCGCGCTGCCACGAATTTTTGCCGAGGCTAAACCACGCTTGGGTCAATAACTCTCTTATATGACGGGGAGAAAACTCTAGAACTATGTTCATCTTATGGGAAATTTTCTGCTCTTTTCAACGGTATATAACACATCTCAATCACACGTTTGCACAATCGTTTTTCAGCCCAGCAACAAACTTTCCACTTGTATTTCCGTCTACTTTTCGGTCCAATATTTTCGTTATCTAGAAAAATAGCGAAAAATTTGCAGCCCTTATTAGAAGGAAATTTAACAAATGGTTTACATATTCGAAAAGAGCTAACCTTGGCCTGTCTTATTTCGAGTTTTCATTTACAGACGCCGTCAATATCTGCCAGCGTCTGTAAAAGAAACGCACCTGAAAGACAACCTACAGGTAGCAGAACGCAATCACTTCTTACCCTAACTTTCTTATTTGATGAAGGAAAAATTGGAACAAAGTTTTACCCGAGAGAGAATCCTAACTTCATTTCATGTTGACAGATAATTTTTCATTCACTCTTAATTTATTTAAAACCGTTTAAAAACATATAAGTACGAAGGGTTTCACGGCCGGTGTTAATAAAACTAAAACTAACACTAGCACTATCACTACAACTAACACTAGACCTAGAACTAGAAACTTTCGGGTTGAGCCGTGCGTTTTTTGAAAAAATTTTTGACGTTTCGGGTGCCATGTTGCAACCTTCTTCAGAAAACAAGTTGGAAGCGAACCCGAAAGTTTCTAGTTCTAGGTCTAGTGTTAGTTCCAGTGATAGTGCTAGTGTTAGTTCTAGTTTTAGTTTTACGTTTAGAAACATGTTAAACTGTTCAAAAAGGAAAGATTATTTCATGTTACACCTATTTTATCAGAATCTGGAAGAATTTGAGTGATTTTAGACTCGAATTGTTAAATTGTGTTTTGATGGTTTTGAATCTGGTAACGTTTGCATTTTAACTCAGTTCATCAATTTAAAAAACGCGTATGCAAACGCGTAAGCGAAGTGCGTCGGACACCGTTGGAAAGAGCAGAAAATTTCCCATAAGATGAATATAGTTCTAGAGTTTTCTCCCCGTCATACAAGAGAGTTAGTTATTGACCTAAGCGTGGTTTAGCCGCGGCAAAAATTCGTGGTTTAGGTAGTTCATAGTCAGAAAAAAGGATTGTGCAAACGTGTGATCACAGTGTGTCACACATCGTTGGAAAGAGCAGGAAATTTCCCATAAGCTGAATATAGTTGTAAAGTTTTCTCCCTGTCAAATAGGAAAGTTATTAGTGCAAGAAATATTTGCGTGTTTTTATCGGTAGGGGCTTTTTCAGGTGGATTTTTCTTACAGACGCTGATAGATATTGGCGGACGAAAACTCGGAATAAGATAGTCCAAGGTCAGCTCTTTCCGAATATGTAAACCATTTATTGAATTTCCATCTGGTAACGGCTGCACAAGGCCGTGAAGTTTGGTAATTCTGAGGTAAATTGAATGCAGCGCGACGTTTCTTATTTTTTCTTGCTCTTATTATCAACATATCGGTTTATGATAGAGAAAAGACCAAGCTTTCCAACCGTGTGCTTAGTTTTTCGCTATCTTTCTAGATAACGAAGATATGGGCCCTAGAAGTAGGTGGAAATATAAAGGAAAATGTTTGTTGCTGAGCGGTTTGTTGCTATCGTCTCGCCGGTTCTTCAGAGACTAGCTTTTAAGAAGCAATAGTAGATTAAAATATCAAGTTTACATTATTAAAATTCTTTAAAGTTATAAGATAGATGAATACAAATACTGATAAAATGGATTTTGAATATAATTCTCCACAAAAATATTGAGTCTATTTACAAATAAATTGAAATTGAGTAACTTTCATAAATAGAAAATTAATTTATTCATGGTGTTAATACAACATCGAGAATCCAATAAAATATTAAACGGTTAGTTTCCGATTTAATCAAAAGATAATTTAAGGATATATGGTAATTGATCAAAAATTAAAGCGTCGATTTAATATCGAGATATGTTTCTGTTAATTTCAACCTCATTACTAAAACATCGTGTATACATCAAAGGATTCGTTTATGCAAATGTAATACCATTTTACGTTGCGTTATAAAAATTTAAAAGCACCTCTTATCGCGCCATTATCCAAGGTTCCAAATATTTTACGGCCCGAATTTACATCGGGACGTCGACATTCTTTTGACAAGGCATAAACACAACGGTGTATTAGTGTTATAAAGCTTAGGCGACTGGTATAGAGACGTAAAAGTGTAAAATATCTCGTCGAGACACCGCAGGTGATTTCCATTTTAATTCGACGGACGTTTCCAGAACCGTCACATAAAAATGATATTGTTTAGAAAGCTAAACATCAAAAGAAGCCCGCCGCTATAAACGAGCCCGTAAAACTAAAGTTTAAACTATTTTACTTTAATCTTTACACACGAACGAAGCGAAATTGGTTTATTTATAACTTCATTTTCACGGATTATTCTTTTTATTTTAAGGGTCTTATTTCTTGTTTGAACTTGCATTTTAAGTTAGGAAGTTTCATTAAATCTGATTTTTGAACCCCATAATTTATTGTAAACAAGTCGAGTTGAATCAAACCTATAGCATCATATCTCAAAAACTAATTGAGATAAAATAACGAGATAAGAAGCGTTTTGAAGCAAATATAATCATTATTAATTGTGTCGAGAATTATTTTAGAATTTCTACAATTCTCGATGTTATGTTTATTTGAATCCAAACCCATAATTTATTGTAACCAAGTTGAATTGTATCAAACTTGTAGCATATCTCAAAAACGAATTGAGATAAAATAACGAAATAAGAAACATTTTGAACCAAATTTCTTAATAATCAATTGAATTGAAAATTAATTTCAGTCTTACAATTCTCGATGTTATGATCTTTTGAATGCAACCTAAGATGAAGGATAATAAAATTGGATTATTTTCATCAAATGAAATTAATGTATACTGATCTGTTGTTTTATTTATTTTATGTTGTGTATATTTAGCAAAAATAAAGTTATTACGGGTTATATAAATATATTTTATGTTTCATTTGATTTTCATCGACTACAAAACAGAGAAACTACAAAACAAAATCCGTTCTAAATTCCCTCCAAATCAAACGAGCTTCAGTAATAAATATTTCATGTTCGTGGATTTAGTCGTGTGACAGTCGTTTCACCTGTTCGTTTTCAAAACAAACAACATTGATACAGTGGGCGAAACGTCGCGTGTGGGCACAAAATACACGAAGCCGTTTTAAAATTTTTTTCGCAATCCATTCATCTACACCAGACTAATTATAATTTGTAAATGCGTCTCCCGCCCACATTAGGTATACAAAGCGAGTCCTCTACTTAGTTTTATTAGATTATTTCGTACAGCACACCGTGTTCGTAGGTGGACGGGGGCGAAATCACGCATTGAAACCTAAATGTTAATCCTCTATTCTCCGATCGCAAACATAGACGTAGAAATCTGTTCGAACCAAATTCACGGAACGAAATGGTTGGAAACTTGAAATCGTAACGACGACACGCTTAGTTAACTTCTCTTATATATCTCTTTGTTAACGTCTCGATAAATCGCGATAATTGTTATGGGAAATTCGCGATCCGGGCCATAAGGCGATCCCGAGTATAGTAAATTAACCGCAAAATGCAAACAGCTCCGTGCGGAAAACTTGTTCTCTTCGGAGTTTTGAAAGAATCCATTCATGGCAAGGCGCCTCTGAGGGAGGTCACTTTATATTCATGAAGTAATATATGCGACAGAGTGAAAAGAAGATCTCTTTTAATGTTGTAAAACGAAAATATTTAATGGAAAAAAATACTCAGTTAAAAAGCAAGTCTTATTTCTTTCACACCACACACCAGAGGACATCTGAATAATTTATTGTTTCGCGTGGAAACAAAGCAATCCTCAGTTTGGGGTTGCTTCCTACAAAAGGGTGTTAGACCACCTCTCTACTACTGCCCTTATCCCAGCAGCCGATTTCCAGGTTATTTATTCATTCGTCGCTCCGGCAAACTCACGACTTTTACGGTCCTTTAGCGTCCGATCGAAATGGGAAAGAACTTAACACAGTTTCGTCAACCTTCAATCTCAGCGCAAATCTCCGTCAGCGATATTTTTCGGCGCGGTTACTAATTGCATAATCACCGGTTAAAACGTTGTTATTACAGCCAGGTTGTTGGTTAAATCTTAGTACCTCCAATTAATAAACGTGGAGATCGGAAATTGATAAGGAAGTCGCCGGAGGCCGCAAACCAATTAATTTATCCTCCAACGGACAATCTTCGTTCGCTCGCGTCGCTGTTATTATTTTCTTCTTCTCATCTGAACCGGTTTCAAAAATCCGTTAGAACAAAATTATAGGTGTACATGGAAAATTGCTTCGGCTTAATTGCAACCGAACTGTACACGACATCTTGGCTAATACCAGAAACGTTTAAGACAATCTCGATTTATTTTATTTAATTCACCATCTCAATTAAGAGAATCTTAATGTCGATTATAAATTTAAGTTATCTGATATTTTATTTCAGGATTATACACAAATAGAATTGAAGAAGCACATCTTGCAGTCCCAAAAAAATTATCACCAAGTGGAAAAATATCGCACGATTTAAGAAGCACCCATGATGATGGAACGGTACATTTCAACGTTACAATTGGAGAAGATGAGCACCTTCTCATACTCGAGCCATCGAAACAATTCACATCTCCTGGATTAATTATAGAAAGACATAGAAGAGAGGTTCATTTGCGCACGATTCCAAAAAAAGATTTCGTTGATTGTCATTATCAAGGATATATTTATGGGCAACCTAATTCTAGGGTTGCAATTTCGGCTTGTAACGGATTGGTAATGTATAACGATTTTTTTAACCCAATAAACTTATCACAATATACCTCACATTTTCGATTATTGTTTGACACAATAAGACTACAAAACAATCCTTAAAAAAAACCATAAAAAAGTTCAAAATACAAATTGCACTCTCGCTTGCTCGATTGCCCATCCGTTTTTCGTGAATATTCCGGGGTGCTTTGTTGGGTTCGGGGCACAAAAACAGGGGTTGATTGTCCATGTATCGATTCGTGTATATGAACGATTAGTGGGCATTCGTAATTCGTGCCATATCGTTATCAGAATCGATTACTTTTTTTTAAGGCTGGGATTATCCATACGGAAAATGGAAAGTATTTCATCGAACCGCACCATCACCATTCAAGAAAAATACAACCCGGACATCCGCATGTGATTTATAAAAGATCCGCGTCGGTTTCTCATCATCAACATCACGCGAAGAAAAAAAGGAAACGAAGAAAGAGGAAACAAATTCAAAATTGCGGTACTCGAGAACCAAAACGGATGACTGAGTAAATTATTATTACCTTTTAATCTAAAATTATTATTTTCTTTAATAAATATAGATTAGAATGGCAAAAACAAATCGGAAAGGTTCGGGTACAAGAGAGAAGACACAAACACAAACCGAAAATTACGTTCGATTCCGTTAAACAACACCATTTAAAAAAACACAAATATCGAAAGTTAAGAAATACTCGATCGGTGAGTAAAGCTAGATACGTGGAAGCTCTTTTAGTCGCCGATACATCGATGATTGAGTTTCACGATTACGAGGGCGAAAAAGAAGGCGTGGAAACGTACCTGTTGACGATCATGAACATGGCAAGTATTAAACGTTAATGAGTTGTGTGTTTTTTTCTCTCAACGCTCGATATGTTAATCGCCAATTATCGCAGCGGGACGCTGTCATTATCTAGAAACGATTATCTCGACTAATGGGGTCGTAATTTGCACGACTTTATGCCTTGACAATAGTTTTTAGACAAGGAGGAAAAGGCGCGTCAATTCGAAGGTTTTGAATGTTAACGAGTACATTCGTCAATATCGCCAATTACTACAAGACCTAACGAGATATCATAAGATTTTTTTTCTCTCTCGTTTAATCGATCTTAATTCATTTACATCCTGGTTTCGCCCTTGGTGGTATTCAAATACCATCTTAATACATTTCTAAATATCGTTACGAAAAAATCCCAAAAACATAACACTTTTATTGATTTCTAAAATATTTATGTAAACTACTCAACAAAATACCTTTAAGAACCCTATAAAAGCGTTGTGACCAACGAGATAAGAGACCTTTATTCGCCATTGTCGTTCGCGTAAATTTAAAGTTAAAATATTAAAAGGAACAGCCGCATGAAACGCGTCCAGAGAATGGCTTCTTCGCATGCAACGAGCCTATAAGAATCAGTATCCAGTAGCTAGTTTGCCTTAAAAGACCAGTGGCGACGAATTCTCGCTTGCATCTGATTTGTGTGATTTGCATGTGAAGCAGCTTCTAAATTGGGATACGATCATATCTTAGTTTTAACTGCACGCAGAGTTTCAGCCTTATTGATCTTAATTATTTTATTTATCTTATTATCAGGTATCTTCGTTATATTCCGATCCAAGTATTGGAAATTTTATAAAAGTATCCGTCGTAAAAATAATTCTAATAGAAGACCAACAAGCACAACCTGAACTTAACGTAACAACTAACGCCGATATGACACTAAAAAATTTTTGTAAATGGCAAAAAGGGATGAATCAAAAAGGTGATAATCACCCTCACCACCACGATGTTGCAATCTTAGTAACAAGAAAGGATATATGCGCCAGAAAAAACGTCCCTTGTAACACTTTGGGTGTCGCTCACGTTGGAGGAATGTGCGACACTGACAAAAGCTGCAGCGTTAACGAGGATAACGGAATTACTTTGGCCCATACGATCACCCACGAAATGGGGCACAAGTAAGTCTTGCACGCGAAAATAAAGTTGAGGAAGCGAGTTATAATAATAAGGGATTCGCACAAACGCTCGTACGAGGTAATTTTTGAGCATTAAGAAGGTATTCGTAGACGGCGTTTTGGCGAGAACCCATTTGCAATTTCGGATTAGGCACCCGTAAAGTAGTATTACAGTCGCTTTAAAGCTTTAGTTATTGTTATGTTTTCGACGAAAAAGAAATTTTCATCCAACATTTTACATTATTCGAATTTATTACCACTTTTTCAGTTTCGGTATGTATCATGATACTGATAAAATCGGATGCAAAGGGAAAATTGGACGTAAATTACATATTATGACGCCAAGCTTTGAAGCCGATACAGTTGAAGTTAGTTGGTCAGAGTGTAGCAGAAGAGATGTTACTAATTTTTTAGAGTAAGAGTATTTATTTATGTTATTATAATTTTAAAGAATATATTTTCCACTCCTCATTTTACCCACTTCATATATTATATCATATCATAGAAGCAAAAATGACACAGCTTGCAGAACACTACATTTAGCAACTAAAACACCAGATACTGCTAATGAAAGACTAAGTACTGTTAATAAAGGACTAGATATTTCTGGCAGAACACTAGATACAATTGGCATAGATCTAGATACTGGTAATTAAAGACATCTCTTAATGATAACATCAACAGATTCTCTTTACTACATGGGGAGTGGAAATAAATAAGAACACTGATGTAAATGTCATTAAAATATTTAATTTTTGTAATTTTTGTTTTGTAGTAAAGGTTTAGGTGAATGTTTAAAAGATGAGCCTAAAGCAGATAATTATAAATACCCCCCACTTCCCGCGGGGGCAATGTACGATAGTGAAGTTCAATGTCGACTTCAATTCGGTGATTATGCAGTTAAAGTTTGCACCCCACCAGAAGAAATTTGCTCGAGACTTTGGTGTCAGGTGAATGGTACTTGTACCACTCAACTTAGACCAGCAGCAGCAGGGACGAAGTGTGGAAAACATATGGTAAACATTTTAAATAATTAAATGTTATTTTATTGTTTTTATATTTTGTTTAGTGGTGTGAAGACTTGAAGTGCGTTAAAATAATGGAACCACCGAAAGCAATCGATGGTGGTTGGGGTGATTGGAGTCCATGGAGTGAATGTTCGCGAACATGCGGTGCAGGAGTTGCGATAATGCAAAGGGAATGTGACCATCCGAAACCAGCGGCGGGTGGAAAGTTTTGCGTTGGGGAGAGACGTCGTTACAAGATTTGCAACGCGAACTCGTGTCCTGGCGATCAGCCGACATTCAGGGCGACCCAATGTTCTAGCTTCAACAACAGGACGCACGAGGGACGGAAGTACTCCTGGGTTCCTTACTTCGATCAAGGTGCGAACCGCCTCCATCAATTAAAGTTTAATTTTAAGTGCACCCGCGGAACGAGACGACGGCAAACTTCGTCGAAACGTGTAATTGTCAGCAGTAAATTTCGGCTCGTATTTCGAAGACATGCACACCGGCAGTACATTAAATTCAATTACGAAAGTCACGCAAACGACACCAGCTGTAACACGAAGACGTCAGATTTCTCATTTTACTTTATAACAATGAAAAAACTGATTTTAATTTTATTAATAGAAGGTAATCTAATTAAAGACAATCTTGTAATAACTTCTGTCGGATCGTGTACATGTTTGAAAAGTTTGCAGGTAGCGTGTTGAGCATACGTCAAAACGTTGGAAAGAGAAAAGCTTTGTTAGATTGAGAACGGTTGGGGTGGAGGGTTTGGGTCTTTCACTCCGGGAACTTATCGATGTAATAACGGCGCCAACAGGAAATTTATGCCAGAAGAAACAATGCAGTGCACATGTTATGCCACGTACGTCGCCCGACACATTAATTATTAATAAGGGGAGCTCTTAAAAGTTGGTCATAAATTAGGCGCGCCGTTTGCCGACGACTTACGACCGCTTGTCGGTAAACCAGCGGCGGGCGGGCAGCGTGGCGTTAAAGAAAGAATTCTTCTCGGCGGTGATTTATGAGGAGACCCCGCGACTCTCGAGACGCCCACCAACTCTCACCGCGGCTCCTCTCTTTCGATAATTCTCCTAAAGCCCTACAAGTGACGTCGTACGTGGGCTTAAACATCGTGTTTCAAAATAATCGCGATCATAAATTCGCAAGATTCACACCTCCCTATATCTATACCACCTGTATACGCATGTTTACAATAGTATTAACTCATAAATAATTTCGTTTTTAGATGAGCCATGTGAATTATATTGCAGCGACATCAATGATACTGTAATTGTAAGCTGGGGAGTTGCTTTAGATGGAACGCCTTGTAATGTAGGAAGGAGAGATATTTGCATTTCTGGAATATGCAGAGTAAATTAATTAAAATTTTATATTTTTAATTAAAATTATAAACGTGATTCATTTTGTAGAAAGTTGGTTGTGATTGGACGGTAGATTCGGATGCAGAAGAAGATGTTTGTGGGATTTGCCAAGGTGATGGTACAAAATGTAGGATAATTAATGGGATTTATAAGAAGCAAGGACAAGGAAATGATTACATAGAAATCCTATCGATTCCAACCGGATCAAAAAATATTCGCATCGAAGAAATGGATTATTCCGAAAATTACATCAGCATAGGAAGCGTATTCGAAGACAGATTCTTTTTAAATGGCAGAAGACATATCACATTACCCGGTGAATACACAGTAGCTGGGACGCAAGCTTTGTACGAAAGGGATAATGAGTTGGAGAAAATTAGAATTCCCGGCCCGATAAAAGAACCTATTTTGGTATACGTAAGTCAATTCATATTCATTTTAAGCTCAAAATACGATTTAAATTAATTTATTATATCATTAAAGTTTTTTTAGAGGAAACGAGACTTGCATATAAACTAACTAATTGCGAGCGTAAACAGGGTTACCAATGCAACGAGAGCGTAATTCAATTAAACAAAGTGTTGTCCTCGAAACGAATGGTATAAAAAGAGGTCCGGGTGACTGGGAAAACGTTTAATTTAGCGGAGTTCCTAAAATCTCCTTTTAGTAGCGACTAATGTGTCCAAACTTTTCAACCCTAAAACGTCCCAGTTTTTTTAAGCTTCGGGAACGAATTCGTGGATCATCAATTGATTAATTTTCCGGTTTAAATTGTATAATTTAACTTAAACAACTCCATTTTGTACACGAAGTAAAAGGGTATTTCGATAAGCATCAACAATAAACCTTGTACGTAAGCCCTTTTAAGGTACTGACCTTCTTATTGCTTTATTACCGGGCGATCTTCAAGTAACGTCACGAAACTATTATGCGAACAAAGCGTTCATTGTGTACCACCGTTCACGTTTACCCGTAATTTATCAAGAAACATAATGGAACGAAAGGATTTATCGTTGACTTATACACAACACTATTACTTTTCTTCCTATATAAATTAAATCTAATTTGAAATAATTTGAATATTTTTATTTTTCGTAGATTGTTTTTCGTGGTAAATCGAAAAATCCAGGTGTAAAGTACCAATACACTCTATCAGGTTATGAAGATCCAGAAAAGCATCTTCAGTATGAATGGCAACTAGGTGACTGGACTCAATGTTCGGTTACTTGTGGAGGCGGCAAACAGTTTCGAAAATCCATCTGCAGGGAATCTTTATCGGGACCGGTGACGTCGTTCGACGATGTCACATCAACCATTGTCGCCGAATCTTTTTGTTCGCGCGATGCTCAACCGGACACCGAAGAAAGAAGTTGCAAGGATGAACCGTGTCCTTCACATTGGTGGGTTGGACCGTGGCAATCTTGTCCCGTCACATGTACCAACAAAGTAAGAATAAAAAAAATTTTTACCTTAAAAACGCTTTATTAAGAAGTTAAACTGATAACTCGATATTAAAACCATAATTTTACTCTGTCCCACTGAATAGTACAGCATATCATGACATTTAGGTTACTTCGAAGTATATTGGGGTGTATCAATGTAATATATACCGGGAATTTCATATAATTCGCAACATATATATGCACTTCCACTGTCCCACATAAATTGTAACATAGCTTAATAAAAATATGCAACATAGTGATATCTTATGCTAACTAGCGCTGCTTAGCACTGTCACTAGTTTCTAGTTCTAGGTCTAGTGTTGTTTTAGTACTAGTGTTAGTCTAGTTTTATTTGCCATACACATTTTTCTGCTCCCTGCAGAGTGGGGTTTACTGCAAACTCTGAAGCATGGTAATTATCGAAGTAGCATTTTTTAATATCTTTGAAATGTATTATATTACTAGGTGTTGACATAACATGATTTTTGCCCAGTGCTATAAATGTCATAGCACTCAAGTAAATTCCTTTATCTACGAACTGGATTGAGGTGTTTAACCCTTTGTGTCCCAAGAAGTCAAAAATTTTAAAACTTTGTGACAGAATTAAAGCGTTATTAAAATACACTCAGTAAAGGCCTTTGGTATCAATTTTAGCATAATATGCAATCCCCCCATTCGAGGGGGGTAATGGTATTTGAGAGTACGATCAGGCATTAAAATATGGAAAAATAATGAGAAAAAAATGTTTAAATAAAACTTACATTTTCGTGTAACCTAAAAGTGTCAAAAAAGATGCTAATTTAAAAATTCCTGGAAGCCGTGTTTATTGAAATTAAGGAATGAAACTTATGATAAATTAAAGTTCAAAGCTTTCTCTTTAAAATGATGTATAATAATCGTTGGGTTGGATTGAAAAAATATTGAGAAAAAAATGTTTAAACAAAACGTACATTTTCGTATAACCTAAAAGTGTCAAAAAAAATGCTTATTTAAAAATTCCTGAAAGTCGTATTTATTGAAATTAAGGAATGAAACTTATTTTAAATTAAAGCTCAAAGCTTTCTCTTTAAAATGATGTATAATAATTGTTGGGTTGGATTGGAAAAATATTGAGAAAAAAAATGTTGAAACAAAACTTACATTTTCGTATAACCTAAAAGTGTCAAAAAAGATGCTAATTTAAAAATTCCTGGAAGCCGTATTTATTGAAATTAAGGAATGAGACTTATTCTAAATTAAAGCTCAAAGCTTTCTCTTTAAAATGATGTATAATAATTGTTGGGTTGGATTGGAAAAATATTGAGAAAAAAAATGTTGAAACAAAACTTACATTTTCGTATAACCTAAAAGTGTCAAAAAAGATGCTAATTTAAAAATTCCTGGAAGCCGTATTTATTGAAATTAAGGAATGAGACTTATTCTAAATTAAAGCTCAAAGCTTTCTCTTTAAAATGATGTATAATAATTGTTGGGTTGGATTGGAAAAATATTGAGAAAAAAAATGTTGAAACAAAACTTACATTTTCGTATAACCTAAAAGTGTCAAAAAAGATGCTAATTTAAAAATTCCTGGAAGCCGTATTTATTGAAATTAAGGAATGAGACTTATTCTAAATTAAAGCTCAAAGCTTTCTCTTTAAAATGATGTATAATAATTGTTGGGTTGGATTGGAAAAATATTGAGAAAAAAAATGTTGAAACAAAACTTACATTTTCGTATAACCTAAAAGTGTCAAAAAAGATGCTAATTTAAAAATTCCTGGAAGCCGTATTTATTGAAATTAAGGAATGAGACTTATTCTAAATTAAAGCTCAAAGCTTTCTCTTTAAAATGATGTATAATAATTGTTGGGTTGGATTGGAAAAATATTGAGAAAAAAAATGTTGAAACAAAACTTACATTTTCGTATAACCTAAAAGTGTCAAAAAAGATGCTAATTTAAAAATTCCTAAAAGCCGTATTTATTGAAATTAAGGAATGAGACTTATTCTAAATTAAAGCTCAATGCTTTCTTTTTAAAATGATTTAAAATGAGTGTTTAAAACCACCGAAACTTTAAAGTACCATCGGGGCACAAAGGGTTAAATATAAATTTTGTAAGCCCATAGAACTGGATCATTGTTCTGATCCTCTGCTTTTTGGGTATGGACGCTATATTGCAGAAACGTATGTGACAAAACAAAGGTGGTGGTCTTTAGGCTCATGTTTCGGTGTACCATGTGTTCATAACGAAATAATCCCAAATGGGCGAAGTATTGTATCAATCATCAAACGCCTAAAACGTCGCCGCATGTTGAACTTTAAGATATCTAAATCGTTCATGTTAACATTTAATTTATATTTCCCACTTATTAGATAAAATCAATATAACTAATGGGAATGACTGTAATAAAAAAAGGCACATAAAACATTCTTTTGTCTGCATAACAATGACACGTTGATTCACGAGCAGATAACGCTAGTTCAGGGAGTAGTTCTTCAACCTTCTCGGAATCAACCCCTCGGTAAAATTCAAAGGGAAGTGTCATCCGTTTCGGTTCGTCTCTAAACAAACAACGACCCTATCTCAAATGTACATTAACCATAGAGGAGGGGTAGTTTCCACTTTTCTTTTACCTCTTGAGTATTTACTTTTGATCGTAAACAGTAGATAAATAACAAAATTCGTGACATCTATCAACAAAGTTATTAATATTGATACTAAAATCAACCCTTACTTGAAAACTTTCTACTTTCAGGGTGTTAAGCAATATCTACGACGAAGTGTGATGTGTGTCGACGGTCAAGAGATGGCGTTGGCGGATAAATTTTGCGACGCCGGAAGTCGTCCTTTAGAATATAAACACTGCGGCCATCTGCCCGTGTGTCCCGAAAGCTTTAGATGAGCTTGCTTTGAACAAATCGAAAAGGATTCTTTTATTTCCAATGCTTCAGCGCTGAAAACTAACCCAAAAAACGTAAATAACGTTAAGGATAATTGAAGAAGACTGAAAAAGCGAGATAATAAAAAAATAAGAAAATAAGAATATAAGAAAAAGATGGTATTTTTTATTTATAACTTAAAATTAATAGAAGTAGTAGAAAAAAATCTTAACTAATAAAAAAAAATGTAGTTGTACTAATGAATATCTTTTTTTAATTCAGTAATTTGTAAAACTTCCCCACATTAAATCTAATAAAGGATGAGGACATTCTTTTAATAAACCATCATCGCATGATTCTTCTAAAAAAATATTTCCTATTTCCACAACTCCCTCACTCCTTCAAAAAAAATTTATTATTAAATCTAAATAAATAATAATTAAGTACTTACAAAAAAACCTCCGAAAGTAAATCCTTCACCAAAGATTTTCCTTTAAAAGGAACAAATTGTTTGGCTTCGCAAACCATTCTTTGCACGCAAGCAGTTCCATTTAAACCATATCTACAAATAAAATCTTAATTTTAATTAATTTTCGATGTAAAAATTAATAAAACCGATCAAGTGAAGTTGAAATATCATTAAACAACGCCCGCCTGTGAACTCGGTGACCTATAAGTCGCCTAATAACACTCGTATCTTGTGGAAGGGGGTGCGGACAATCGAATTCGTGAAGAAATTGTACCCCTTTTGGCACTTTTTGCATAAGAATTTTTACATAAACGACCGTGTACTAAAGAGACTCAATTTAATAAAATAAAAAAAAATAAATTTATTTATGTTCATACCACAAAGTTAGCACCTTTTGGAAAACCTAAATACCGCCTTTTTCTTGTAAGAATATTAGAAGTTTTTAATGTAAATTGAGACCCCATCACATCAAAATAAAAAAGATATAAAATGATGAAAGAATAAATTTTTTTTGGCATGGTAAAGCTAAATTTTTAAAACACTGGCTATACATTTTTAGGTGTGTCGTTTTATATGAACTAAACTGTTTGTTAAATTCATTTGGATCATTTTTAAGAGGTTGTTTTTAAAATTGTCTTTAAAATCAATATTTGTAAAAAAAATAATAAAATTACCCGTCTAGAGAAGTTGAAATATCCTCAAATAATTGTCTTCGGTGTATTTTATGTCCATGTTTGAATCGTTTAAATAAAGAAGTATCAGTTGGTAAAGGAAAAGGGACATCAAACTCAGTTAACCATTGAATACCCTTAGGAACTTTCTTCATTAAAACTTTTACGAAAACAGCTTGGTACTGAAATCGGTTACACATCGATTATTACAAATCAAGATTTCATTTGAACTAAAAATATAACTTTTCAATGACATTTTTTATTGTGTATTTAATAAAAGAAAAATTTTATGTAAACATTCAGGGGTAAAAATTTTAAAAGTTTATAAATGTCTACAAAATCGAATCCTAGGAGTAATTTTATGAAACATTCATTAATTATCAATGATTATATCAGCTTTCCAATTAAAATTACCATTTTGAAAAATCACTTTTAGATTGGAAGATATAAATGATTGAAGTTGATTGTAATTTTAACAATTCAATATTTAAAAATTTATGGACAATCGAATTGTAGGAATAATTTTATGAAACGTTTACAGATTATCAATTATAGTTAGAGCTTTTCGATAAAAGTTTCCGTTTTGAAAAATCGCTTTTAGATTTTGAGATATAAATGTTTGAAGTTGATTGTAATTTTAACAATACGATTTAAATTATATTAAAAAATTTGTGGAAAATCGAATTGTACGAATAATTTTATGAAACATTAACAAATTATCAACTATTGTTAAAGCTTTTCAATAAAAGTTTTTATTTTGTAAAATCACTTTTAGGTTGAGAGATGTAAATGTTTGAAGTTGATCGTAATTTTAATAATTCAATTTAAACACTATATTTAATAATTTCTGGAAAATCGAATCGTACAAATTTATGAAACATTCACGAATTATCAATGATTATATTAGCTTTTCAGTACAAATTTCCGTTTTTAAAATTCACTTTTAGATTATGAGATAAAAATGTTTAAAAATAAATTGAACGCACCACAAAATTAGCTCCTTTTGGAAATGTTAAATACCGTTTTTTCCTGGAAAATACATTTTCTCGATTTTTTACCGTCGATTTATTATCAACACAGAACAGATTCTCTAAGAATAATAATAAAAAGATTAACGTAAACAATTTTGAATGGAAACTCATTTCACTTGTAGCGAATGTAATAAGGTATTGACTGAGTATCGATCGGAATAAGAATTTATTGAAAATATAAAGTCTGTACTTTGTTTACCCTAGTAATTTGTATGGGGACGTTTATTACAACAACTCTGAGTAATGTAGACATGAAAGAACGATAATGGACATACAATACACTCTGTTTAACAATCGCTAATATCCCGGTACTGTTATTTCGTGGTAAAAAAGATTTTTTATTCGATTCGTTTTTAGATTTTAAACCGTCGATTTACTTTATTTTGCTTTTACGAACTTTTCTGGTTCTTGAATTTCCCTTTGACGTCGACTATTACCATTTAGACGGTATCTGCAGATGCAATTTCCTATATATAACGAATAAATTTTAGATGTACCGCCCCTTTACCTTCTCAAAATAGAAAAAAAGTTTAAGTTTAAGAGATATCGAAAGATTTCCATTTATATTAACTAGATAGAAAACTATTTAAATAAATACCCATCAAGTCCTCGGATTAATCTTCTCTTCATATCGTTTCGTTCGATTGTGTGCTTTTTAACCTTGCTATGAAAGTATTTAAACGGTTCCAAATTAAATGGTAATGGAAATGGAACGTCGAATTCTTCCGTAAATTGTATACCGGGCGGTGCTGATTTCATTAGTGCTTTAGCTAATACGAGTTGTAGCTACAAAATGTTTTATTTTATTAATTAATATTGAATAATTAAATAAATTCGTACCACAAAGTTGCTTCTTTCAGGAAATAATAAAAATCTTCTCTTTCTAAACAAGAAATCCTTTTTGTTGATGCCATTTAGAGCAAAAATTTGAATAACAATAATCGAAATAAAAACAAGCGTGGTTTTCATGATGGAAGGTTTTAAAATAACTCGACTTAAAAAAAAGGAAACTTTAAAAGCGTTGTTAATTACATATTTAAATATTGAGTGGAAAAAAACGAAAGTAGGACCGGAGTTATTTATTTCATTTAGGTATCAACTTGAATCAGTCTTGATTATTTTTAATAAGATAAAGATTATTCATTATAATCCGGCTCTGACCAAAAAGTGTTAATTTTAAAATTTATTTTACAACGAACTTAATCCAATTAAAACTTGCTATCTCGTCATTCCATCCACAAACATTTCGTAAACCCATAAAACGCAATTTATGATTGTGCATTTCGCATCCGTTGGTTTCATTGAAATAGTCGTAGATTTATGGTTCGTCATTGTTGTAACATCTCGTAAACGAAACATTTCAGTATTATTTGTTCGACGGTGAATGTAACAGTAATTTTTCTCGAGGATCCTCTCGTCATCTACGGCTTTGCCGCATTGATTGAATGTTCCGTTTCCGCTCATCAGCGTTGATAATCTCGCGAAATGATCCTCAATAACTCCGCTCGGGTTGCAGACGAAACTCGACCATATATACTATGAAACGGCGTAACGTTGAAAACGCGTTCAGGATCCGGCCCCGAAACTCGGTTTCACAGAGTTCTGACAGCTAAGGCCTTATCTTGCATCCTCCTCGTTTCGTCACAACCAATACATCATCGACAAAGTTGCTGAAATGTCAAAGCTTCCAACCAATTTTATTTTAATGTGAAACTTAAAACTTTATAAATTTTAAAATTAAAATTAAAGATCCGTCAATATCCTTAAAAATCGATGATTTTTTTTTAACCGATGTGAAATTGCCTGAAAAACACGTTAAAAATGATTGTAAAATCACTTTAGAATTTCGACGTGACGTCACAAAGCTTACTTATGACGTATTTTTCACAACAGTACGGTTAACAGTGGTCCAAGACAATGTTTTTTGGCATTATTTAAGAAGGCTCCATAAACGTTCCCAAGACATAACGGAATCACCAATTCCAAAAAAATCTCGGCACAAGCAGGATGTTCGCATTTGGCACCTGCTGTTTGTGATGCTGAAGAATGTCTTGATGATAGTATTCAAAGGCTCAATATTTTACATCACTCTAAAATAGAAAATGAGGAATATTTCTGTTTATTAGAAAAGGCGTACGCGACTCACAGAGAGATTTTAAATAATATTGTTTCACCGCCTTCCATTAATGGTATAATTTCAAAATATCCTGTAATTTTTAATAATAAAAGTGTACGCTGACATTTTAAAAAATTGACCGATGTGGATCTTAGTACCATGTCACAAGTTTTGGAAAAAAAGCAAGACAATATATTAAATTTTGGACTTCGGAAGGGAAGGAGAGCAATCGACAACGTGTACGTGTTGAAGCATCTGGCAGATAGAGAGCTGGATAAGAAGGGAGGGAAATTGTACGCCCTATTTATAGATTTGAAGGCGGCTTTTGATAAGGTGGATAGGGGAAAGTTGTGGGAGGAGATGGGGAGGAGGGGGATCACGGAACACCTAATTGCGAGAGTGAAGGAAATATACATGGAGACTATGGCTAGGATAAAAGTGGGAGATAAGCTGAGCGACGTGTTCTGGACGACGAAGGGACTGAGGCAGGGATGTCCGCTGAGCCCAAGTCTGTTTGCACTGTATACGGCGGACCTGGAGGATAGATTGGGGAAGGGGCAAATGGGAGGGTTGGTGGTGGGAGGTAGAAAGGTGCATATGTTAGCATACGCGGATGACATCGTGGTCATGGCGAGAGAAGCGGCGGAGATGAAAGATATGATAAAGACATTGGAAAGATATTTTAGGGGGAAGGGGCTGGAAGTGAATGTGGGGAAGACAAGGATGATGAAGTTTTGTAAGGGTGGGAGAAAAAGAACAGAAAACTGGAGATGGGAGGGAAAAGAGATCGAGGAGGTTAGGGAGTATACTTACTTGGGGTATGTGTTCAGGGAGGACAACAGGGAGGGGTCGCATGTGATAGCTATGGCAAAAAAGGCGAATAAGGTGATGGGACAAGTATGGGGTTGGGGGAAGAGAGTCTTTGGAAGGAATGTGGCAGCGAGGAAGATTATGTTTGAAGGTCTGGTTAGCAGTGTGATGATGTATGGAGCAGAGGTATGGGGATGGAGAGAGCAGGCAATGCTGGAGGACGTGCAAGCTAGATACTGGAGATGGGTGCTTGGGGTGGCGAGAGAAACACCGGGGTATATAGTGAGGGAAGAGGTAAAGGTGGATAAAGTCAGAGTGGAGGGGGGCAGGAGAGCAGTGAAATATGAAGAAAGAATAGAAGGGAGGCCAAACTGCGGGATCTTGGGGGAGTGTTGGAGGGAAATTAGAGAGGGAAAGATCAGATATGGGAAAGGAGACAGAGACAACTATTATAGACGAGCGGGCTACTCGGTAACTGAGATAAATAGTAGACGAAGGGTGGGTAGGGAGATGTGGAGGGAGTTGAGAGATAGGGACCGAGATGTGCAGAGACAGGAAAGAAGGACACAAATAAAAGAGGGGAGGTATAACGAAAGGTACAGGGACATAATTACGGAGGGGCTGCCTAGATACTTGTTATTGGAAGGAGATGAGGAAGGGAAGAAGTTGGTGGCTAGGTTCCGTTGTGGAAACGAGGAGAGAGCGAACAGATACTGGATGGCCGATGAGGAGAGGTGGTGTAGGCTATGCAGGGAGGAATGGGAAACGTTGGAACATATGTTGAATGGGTGCAGTGAGTTGAGGGAGGAGGAGTTGGACCGAGGGCAGATCTTAGGAGAGGGGGGAGAGGGGAAACGATGGATGAGAATGGTTGTGGGGGTAAGGAGACAAAGGGAAGGATGAGGGGATGATTGGGCCGTGGAGCCGAGGGTATGGAAATGGCGGAAGAGGGTGAAAATAATATACTAATAATATATATATTAGAATGTATTAAGGGGATAAATATTGTAAATATTAAAAACAATAAAATGCTTATTATTATTAAATTTTGGACTGAGAACTAAATTTATTCGGAGTGATGAGATAACCGCAGAAAATAAGGATAGACTAACTTTAGAAATTATTGCTAGACCTTGCTAGACATTTCAAGGAAAAAATAGGCGACATCCTTCATAAGTTTGAGGTACACCAATATCGCATTATTTTTTTTAAATTCAATAAAATGATATCCCTTTTAATGAAGTTAAATAATCTGAAGCTCAATGCTATATATTCCAAACAATCAACGGTTTAGTAAGAATAATCCTTAAATTTAATTTTGTGTTAACTCTGCCTTTCTGAGTCAATAGGAATTTTCGAGGTCAAGGGTGATTTTTTTTGTATAACTTTATTAACAGTGACAATTACATTGTAATTGCACTTGACAAAATTTCAAATTCAACTAATTAAAGCAAAATACAATATGAAAATAAAGTTATCAATAAATAGATTAATAATACTAATAATTAATTAATTAATTAACATACACAGAAAGAATTAATAGTTCGGATTTTTCATTCGCTCTAATATGATATTTCTTTCTCGATGAATTTCCTCGATTTCCTTTTTATCCAAAAACAGTTCTTCCTCCGTTGTATCTAATACAATATCCGAATCCCCGGCTCGATACCTCTAAATCATAAAAATAATTTTTTTTTATAGAGATTGTCCAGAAATGACGTGTACAACGGAAGACCACAAGTACCTTGACCAAAAATATGATGATTTAACTCATTTTCGCCTGTTGTACACACCTGTATATTAATTTTACCTCAAATCGTTCTATCGTTAATCGTTGAAAATCATTGCTCCACTTCACCAATATGTCATAAATCGAATGAATGATTTTTAACATTTTTACATCGTTTGTTGCCCCAAATAGATTTGAAATCGGTCTTTTACAATCACAAGGAAGTGAGTCATATTTAATCGACCACTTATTATATCTATACCATAACGAGCAATAATATTTCCTGTTTTTTCCGATGTTTTCGACGACTTGCGATGGGGTGAATCGAAATTTGATCTTTTTGTGATTAAAATCCAAAAAGAACAACCCCGGAAAATTAAAAAATGACTCCTTGTTACCTTTCTCTAACTCGTAATATTCCTCAAAGAATCGCTCCCTTTTCTGCTCGCGCTCCGACTCCATTTTACGCCTATTCTCGCGATTTCGTTGTATTAATTCCTCTAAAAACACAGATGTTATTAAAAATTTCGAATGAATGGAATTAAATAAAGGCATAAAATAAACTCACCGACTTCCTCATTGGGGGCTGTGGAACGATACAGATATGAGTCACTACTAGACATTATTTATTAAACAAAATTTGTCTTAATTCTTTGATTGCTAAAATAAAAATATTGAGTCTAAGAAACAAGGCATCTGAAAATATATGTTGTAATCTCAACTAGTTTAGTGAAAATAACTTTTTATTTTGTGCGTGGGTATAAATTAAACAATTTGATGTTAGGATTTAATACGAAAATGCATGGTTAACATCGAAACTTTAAAGTAATTTTTAGGTAAGTTCTACACTTTTCCGCATTTTTTTTATTATTAATGCCTTTTTTGGGTTATTTTCCACCGATTAAAAAAAAATCACCGATTTATAGGAATAATTCAAGAATAGCATTTTTTTAATCGGTGGGCAATAACCCAAAAAAGGCGTTAATAATTAAAAAAAAATGCGGAAAAGTGTAGAACTTACCGAAAAATCACTTTAAAGTTTCGATGTGACGTCACATTTACAAGAAATGTTAACCACGCGTTTTCGTATTAAAACCTCACCTCAAATTGTTTATTTATAGCCAATAAGCGCAAAATAAATCTAATAAACTTAAAAGTAAAGTTATTTTCACTAAACTTGTTGAGATTACAACATATATTTTTGGATGAAATGCTAAACCGAAAGGATTTCAGAATGACGAAATTAAATTTGAAACGAGGGATGGGATTAAAGCGCACATGTTGAAACTTAGAAAGCAATTTTCGTTTAATTATTCTCAAAAGAAAATAATTATTTAAAGAATTGAGGTTTGAAAGAAACGTACCTGTTAAACACACGATGGTTGGTTTTCGTTAGAGGGTTTATTGTGCCAGCACTGGACTTTTGTATGCAAAAACAAGTTTTTAATAAAAGTTTAAAAAAAAAGAATCCAGATTACGTAATTCTTTAGTGAAATAAATCTTAAATTTGACTTTTACTCGTCGACAATTGATAAATTGTAACAAAAAAAAAATTAAGGAAATTTTAAACAGCACATTAAAAAGTCGATTATTATTTATCCTACGTTAAAGATTCATTTTAAAATTAAATTTGTTGAGGTTAATTCGATTTAGGTATTAAATAATAGATGTCGCTGTTTTGTTGACACAGTTAAGATATAAAATGACAGATGTCAATTTAATATTTTTATTTTAACAATCAAAGAATTAAGTCAAATTTAGTTTAATAAATAATGTCTAGTAGTGACTCTGATCCATAGATAAGATATAATATATTTGTTATATAGATGGGCAACTATAAACATTTGATTGAAATGCGCAATTAGTTTTGGATACTGTCACCTACAGCGCTGAAATCATTGGCAGGCGGGAAATATAAATTAAATTTGTTATTTGGAAGGTTTATCGATGANAATTCATTTTCGAAAAATATTTTATTAAGTACATATTTGTTGTAAAAACGTGCTACAAAGTAATTAATAGAATAAAATACCTTTTCTAGGTAAATAAATGGCAAATAAACACCCCACAACACTTTTACTGCACCTTTTCTTTTTGAATAACGAAAGCTCAAACGTCAATGTGACATATTTACTTCAAAACATGATAAAACAAAACTCCCGGTTAATTTTGCCAACTTTACAACAAATTGATAGGTATTATAGAAAAAAAATGAACTATAGTAGTGACTCTGATCTGTATCGTTACACAGCCCCCAATGAGAAAGTCGGTGAGTTTATTTTATTCCTTTATTTAATTCGATTCATTCGAAATTTTTAATAATATCTGTGTTTTTAGAGGAATTAATACTACGAAATCGCGAGAATAGGCGTAAAATGGAGTTGGAGCGCGAGCAGAAAAGGGAGCGATTCTTTGAGGAATATTACGAGTTAGAGAAAGGTAACAACAAGGAGACATTTTTTAATTTTCCGGGGTTGTTCTTTTTGGACTTTAACCACAAAAAGATCAAATTTCGATTCACCCCATCGCAAGTCGTCGAAAAGATCGGAAAAAACGACAAATTTTATTGCTCGTTGTGGTATAGATACAATAAGTGGTCGATTAAAAGTAACTCATTTCCTTGTAATTGCAAAATACCGATTTCAAATCTATTTGACGCAACAAACGATGTGAAAGTGTTAAACATCATTAATTCGATTTATCACATATTGGTGAAGTGGAGCAATGATTATCAACGATTATTGCAAGAACGATTTGAGGTAAAATTAATATACAGGTATCCCGAAATGACGTGTACAACAGTCGAAAATGAGTTAAATCATCATATTTTTGGTCAAGGTATAGTTCGTTTTTTTTCTATAATACTTGTCAATGTAAATTTTTTACGGTTTCTGTTGGTATTATCTAGGATATTTTCGTAACTAAATAGTTGAGGTTAAAATACTAATCAATTTTTATATAAATACGATTTTAACAAAGTACATATTTATTGTAAAAACGTGCTAAAAAGTAATTAAATAAACAAAACACCTTTTCTTTTGAAATAACGAAAGCTCAAACGTCAGTGTGACATATCTATTTCAAAACATGATAAAACAAAACTCCCTGTTAATTTTGCCAACTTTACAACAATTTGACAGGTATTATAGAAAAAAAAAATGAACTATACTTGTGGTTTTCCGTTGTACACGTCATTTTCGGACACTCTATATTAAAAAAAAAAATTATTTTTATGATTTAGAGGTATCGAGCCGGGGATGAGGATATTATTTGATATTAATAAGTTTTTGTGTCTCTAAATAATAATTATCATTAAAAATTATGTTTAAGATAAAAGTTAGATTACAAAAAGAATTTCTATTTGATTAATAAAGTATAAAAAAGGATGGAAGATGTTTTTCATTATCACTCATATGTTCATTTCATGTTCAACCCTGACGAAGGAGGAAATATGGCCAATGGGTCGGTCGGTTTCGTCGCAAATAGGTACACCGAGAAATCCTCATCCCAATCCAATTGCTAGAGATAAATTGAGCGGGTAAAACGTCATTTTCCAGCGACAACACATTTCCTTGCATACGATGAAATCGACCAAATTTATTCATAAACTGAAATCCTTGAACTGATTTGAAAATACAGACAGTGCTCTTAAAAAGATTAAGCATACATAATTTGACGATGTTTTTTTCTTTCTGAAGCACCAGAAATAACCTCATAATGAACTACCGTGAATTACAACTTTAACATTGTTTTACTTGCTCTTAAACAATCATTTTTTATCTAAACTTTTTGGGATTTTTGGCATAAAGAAGAAACAATAGAGTGTTTGAAAAGTACTTTGGAGAGCGCATTCTGGCTTTGTAGTACCGTAGTGTATCTCCTGATCCTTGCAGCACATTTTTGTGAGACAATATTAAATATAAAGATAACGTTGAAAACACCCACTCAGGAGGTCATCGAAAGCAAAAATTTCATGAGATTCATCGAGTTTTGCAAAATTTTGCTCTTTCTCTACATCACAACTCCAAGACCTATTACAGAACATCTTAAAAGGCTGTTACTGTTAATGTCTGCTACTTCACTTAATATAAAACATCACCCAACCCAACCCAACTTTTCTTTCTTATCAAATAATCTCGAGTTTTTTACTCAATCGTTTTAAATTAAATTAAAATTATTATTATAATATTTAATGTAAAAAATGCAATTCACGCAATTAATCCTATCTTAGTCGACCTTTTTGTGCAAACATTACTGTTGAATGTTTAAGCAGGAAATTATCGATCTAGTTATCACCATATTCACCGAACGGCACATCATCTCATAAGAACAGTTCAGGCACCTCTTGCACGGATCCACTGGATATTAATTGCAGGAATAAACAGTTACGGTTATGGCCTTAACGTCGTGCGAAGAAGCAAAGAGCAAGACACGATATTTGCGTATAACGTAATAGAGAATTATATAGATAGTATATAGATTATAAAAATCAATCCGTGCAAATAAAAAGAATTAAAGTAAAAGTACAAGCCAAAGATGATTAGTTTATTTAAATTTAGTGTAATTGTTTTATTATTAATTATAATCAATTCCGGCTTCTGTGAAGAAAAAAATCATAGTAGAGTGAAAAGGAAATTGGTTTTTAATAAAAGTATGAGATTTTTTGTAAGTACAAAATATTTTGATTTTTATATTTTAAATTAAATTAATTTAAACATTTTTTTTTAGTCAAGAATAAACGGTAAAGATAACGTTATTAAATGGAATACCTTTATTGCACATGGTTGGGGATTCCGTATCAATTTTGAGTTACCTGATTCTTTACCTAAAAGACATAGATTTTTTAAAAGAGATATTCATAACGAAATTGAAAATGTTCCAACAACGTAATTTATTTTAAATAAACAATAATAAATTTATTAAGTAAATCTTTTTAGATGGGGTAAACAAGGATTTGCATGCATGTTGAAATATCTTTGCGAAATAACAGCAAGAATAAGATCATCAGATCAATGTGGAATATTTTGCGAAATAGGAATTTTAATAGCAGAGTAAATTAAATTTTTAAATACATATAAAAAGTTAATAATTAATAATAATAAATTACTTGTAGATCAACGGGAACTGACGCTTCATTTTTAAGATCATTAACATCCAACTGTGAAAAATACAAAGAAAAGTGCCCATATCCGTTCGAACACATGATTCCAACAAGTGAAGTATAATAGTAAACCTCTTTTATTATTTACCAAGTAAATAAACCTGTATATATCGAAAACCGCTACGTTAAATAAATACGCTTTTGTATATTTACCCATCCTTTTTATTTCTTATTGGTAAGTGACGCAACACGCAACGTTTCAGTGTTTACTCAAAAAATTAGAGCGAATTCTTCGAGTATTCAAAAGCAGTTCGTTTCTTATATTCAAAAGATACGTATCTCCATATTAGATATTTATAAAAAGATGAAATCATCTCCAATTTTAATTTTATTAATTATAATAATTAAAAATTTTATAACAACCTATGGAGACGATTTAGATTCGAAAGACGTTCTTCAAAGACGAAAGAGATGGTTAGTTTGGGAAGATGGAATTAATTGGGTTCAAGTATGTATAAAAAAATGATAAAATTAAAATTTTATTTTTCAATTTCTTTTAGATGGTAATTGGTATTGGTCTCCCTGTCGATGTTCCTCATCACAGTGTCACGTGGGGTGTCGTTTTTAGAAGTTATTATCTTCTTCCAACTAATGCTAGTCAATTCACAAACCCTTTAGCTTATAATGATGTATCTAGAAAGAAAAGAACCCCGACAAGATGGGATTTATATTCAGCTTTAGAATATTTTTCAGAGAGGTACACATTTTAAAACATTGTAAATAAAATATTAATCAATATAATATAATCTACAATGTTATAGAGATAGTAGCCGAGGTCATTTGCGACCGAGGCTCTACAACCTACTTTATTAAAAAGATAATACTCGAGGTCGCTTGTGGCCGCGGCTTTAGAATCTACACGGTTAAAGAAGTAATAACCGAAATCGCTTGCAGCCGAGGTTCTACAATCTATAATGTCGTAGAAACAGCGCCGAGGTTGCTTGTGGTCGAGGCTCTGGAATCTACTCCCTTAAAGATCTAGTTCCTTACTAAAGTTTATCCTTTTAACCGATGTACAATAATTTAAAATGTTATTAAGATACTACCCGAGGTCACTTGCGGGCGAGGCTCTACAACCTACCCTGTCAAAGATTTAGAAATATACTAAACCCATCATTTTCGATTCATATTTTCTTTTTCTAGTTCTGGATTAGGTAACGGTCGAGCTTGTTTATTACGATCAATTTGCGAAATTTCATCAACTCCTTTAGAAACAAGAAATGGGTTATTATCGGAAATTCTCCATTTACTCCTTACGTAAGTCATTTAAAAATTTATATACATATATAATTTTATTTATTTGATATATTTAGTCCATCATCAACTGAAGAAATTCCTATATCCCATAGTGACCACGAATATTGGGCAGCGGAGAAACTGGGAAAAGAAACTGAAAACTGCGCGATCCTCTTTCCCGAGTGTTCCGGAAGCTTGGTGGCGCGGTTTACGAGACTAGCGAAAGGATTTATGTAATAAATTGCCAAGGAATAAAGCGAATTATGCTCGGGAACGTCCAGGTTTATTTCTGGGATTTGAAATTGGGCTGGGTGAATAGAAAAACGACCCTTTTTTCCCTCCAACTTAAAAGAAAGAACCGTGAGCCGGGTTTTATCCCCATTGCGAAAATAAAAAGGGGGTACCGCCGTGTATTTGCGGTTAGGTACCCCACGGCTTACCTCGAAATCCCTTAATTTTATGCGAGCGACCCGTTCGAGTGGAACCTTCCAACCTCGTCGTTTGGAGATTCAATTTACGTAGACAGAATTGGGTCAAATCGTTCGCGGATTTTGTCAAACTGGGAGGGATAGTTTGGGATAGTAACCAACCTCCGATCTAGTTACGGGGAGAATTAAGGGTTATTTTTTTAATTAAACGTCCATTTGGGGTGACAGGAGACGTCGGGCTTTCCAGCACCCTTTGTTAAGACTTAATTAATTGAAAGGGGAGTTTTAAAAAATGGGGTTGAAAAATCTCTTTGATGTTTTTTTTTGTATTTCCATAAACCTTTATTTAATATAATAAGTTTATTTTATATTTATATCTTAATAAATTTTTGAAAATAAATCTACGAAATTAAAGCTGCAATCTCCAAAGAAACGATGGCACGTGCCCTCTGCTTCTCGTCCAATCCGATGGGCTGCTAAATACTCATTATCCGCGTGATGATTAATGTCCTCCTTTGTGGTCGAGGGCCTAAAAAAGAAAAGAAACCCAACGAGACAATAAACCTTGCGTCGTAAATCGTAACAAAAGCTCTATTACGTGAACAGGGTGTGCAAAAGTTCGCCCATCAGACTCTGTTTCGTGTTTAGGGGTGTATCGGCGAGTTCACAAATCGTTCTTAACACGCACGACCTTCCACCAATTCCCTTCCTTAAAAAAATACGTAAAATAATTAATAAAATTTTTTTTAATACTTACAATTCGGCAATTTCTGATAAAATGTCGTAGACATCCCATCGCAACATCATTGATCGCTTCTTTCTTCGAGTGTAAATCACCCCGGGATTCGTGTAATCCGTAGCGTTAGTTGGCAGTAAAAAAGAAGCTTTAAGGATGTGGCCGATGGCTATAGCGTAGTCGTCTAAATCGATCGGCAAACCAACACCTAAAATATACTAAAAGAAAGTAGAAATGTAAATTTCCTTCTATTCCTATAAAACGTTGTTTTGCTTTTAGTTTCATCGAAACAAACCGATGTAATTTACGTGCCATAAATTCTGATTTTAATACCGTACGGTGTCGCAAACATGTGCTGCCACTATGTAGGCCGTTTTATACACCCCCGAAGAGGAGGAAAGAGAGGAGGAGGAAACTTCGGGGTCCATGCAAAACAGTGGTGGCGTTATGGAGTGTACTACATCCACAACCCGTCCGCGATTTCAATAAAAATGCGACACGAACCGGTCGATATATCTCTTTGGAAAGCGACACGAGCAAAAGAGGATTCGATGTCGAGAGAAACGCGAGATTGCCCGTGCAAATAAACTCGATCTTGTACTAGGGTTTATTCGCAGAACTGATTGGCAACAATGGGGAAAGGAGAACGTTCTGATCCTCTCGATTCCCTATCGTCAATCTACCATGAGTACCATTTAACTAGAACGTATTTCCAACCACTCGAAAACTTCCGTATCTTCTACTCAAGTTATAACAAACGAAAAGGTTTTAAAACAGTTTTTAATGATTTACCTGAAGTTTTGTTACTTTCCCCGGATAAACCAACGCCCTTTTCACCTTCAATGTTTTTCCATTTCCACAATCAACCACAATCAACCCACATAATAAAAGAATTAAATTCAACAATGTGTACCTCATTGTTGTAACGAAACGTTTCCTCACAGAACAACCGTTCAAAACGTGGTAAGCGGCTAATTGTTTTAATGATGTAGTAGGAATTTCTTAGTGCTGTTAATGAGTATACTAAGAATTGTTTGCTTATTTTATTATAACTAAAACCGTTCGTTAAAACCACTAAAAAATCCATTTTTTCTTTGTTCCATTTATTTAGTAATGAAAAATGTAAGGATTAACCATGGGGATTTTGTAGGTTGAAAAATAATTCTACACGCTATAACACCGTAGGAATTATTCAAACTGTCAAACTGAGGGTTCAAACACACGCGAAAACCCTCTTTTTTGCGTCAGTTATTTCATCCCCTTGTTTTTAGCCACCAGCTTGTTTCGGTATTCCTCCGGGAAACGCGCCAAACATTTTTAACCAGTTTCAACTAATTTGAAGCAATTCCAACTCGACCCAATCGGAGGAATGACAAAAAATCGGACAGTTTGATAATAAAAATAAACGATGAAGGATTCAAGACACTTCATCGGCGTTAATTTTTGGTGAAATTCAAAAAATCATACTTGCCTTAATTGTAGGAATAAGAAAAAGATTTATATGTTAAATTACAGCTTAAAATCTCTTCTTTAAAATGATGTATAAGAAGTTATGTTTGATATATTAATTTATGAGAAAATAATTTTTGAAGAAACATTTGTAAAAAAAACTAGGAAAAAAATTCAAAAAATCATATCTGCTTTAATTGTAGGATTTATAAAATGATTTATGTGTTAAATTAAAGGTTAAAATCTCCTCTTTAAAATGATGTATAAGAAGTTATATGTTTGATACATAAATTTATGAAAAAATATAATTGTAAAGAAAAGTTGGGTTATAGAATTAAATTAAACTCAAAAAATCTTATCTGCTTTAATAGTACGATTTATAAAAAGATTTATATCTTAATTTAAAGCTTAAAATGTCTTCTTTAAAATGGTGTATAAGAAATTGTATGTTTGATATATAAAATTTGGAGAAAAAAAAAATCATTGCAAAAGAAGTTGAGTTGACGAACTAACTTAATTTCAAAAAACCCTTATCTTCCTTATTTGTAGGAATTATAAAAAGATTTATATGTTAAATTAAAGCTGAAAATCTCCTCTTTAAAATGATATATAAAAAGCAATATGTTTGTTCTATAAATTTAGAAGAAAAACTAATTTGAAGTAGTTACAACTCGGCCCAATCAAAAAAAGACAGACACTGATAACAAAAAACAATATGATGAAGGATTGAGGCCACTTCATCGGCGTGAACTTTTCAAGACGAACTTTAACATGTCGTAGAATCGTAGTTTGTCTACTCTGGAAAAGTTTCTTTTGAAAGGGAGGGCTTGAGAGGACCCGTCGATATTCCTCTAATGAGATTTGCGGAATCGAGATTTATGGGGCCCTCGAGTTTTTTCCCAAGCGCTCGGTGGCCACTTGTGCCCTTAACCAGGACCTCTTCAACGGCGAGTTTTGAGAACAAAGCGCGAATTCCGCGGTTTACGGAAAGTTTCCCGCTCAATATTTAAATGGGTCACGTTTTAACGCGACCGTAATGGGTCCTTAGGAATAAACGAATCTTAAAGTATTATTATAAAGAAAATAATAAAATGTTACACAACTTTTTTATCTTTTATTAGATGATCAACATAGGCATGGTTAAGTTAGAAGATATAGACTTAGCGTGACCTAATTTAAAGCGACATCCACTTGTAATTCTAACACGTTGTGTAGATTTAATTATCTAAGGTATAACTAGAAGAGCAAACTAAAAATTGTTACAGTTAAAACTCCACTAGGTCACGTTTTTTATTAATACCGTTACATTTTCAATTAAGTTAAGTGTAACATACATTAATTTAATTATTTTTTAATTAAACTTAAAACGACTTTTGGGTTATACAATAATACTTAAATGCTAAGTGGATTTTTATATAAACTCAACTGTATAAATTCTGCATTTATCTAAACCGAACTAGTTTTAACAAATCACCTTTTAATTTTAGTTAATTAAAACACGGTCGTGAAAAAATTAAAATGTCGAGGACTCTTAAAATCTCGTTACGTGAGCCTATCCAAATACGAAGACGTTTAATTTACCGTTGAGCTTAGTACGTGCTGGTTTCTCACTCTGGTGTGTTACTGTTATTACAATTAGCGTGAGGTATCCACCAATAAACCTACAGTTCATCGCAGGCAAACAACAGATTTAACCAGAATGTTGTACAAAAGATTATTTTTATGTTTAATCCAGTTGTATTTATTAACAATGTCGAGTACAGAAGATATTATCTCGGAAAATCGTAACGGATCCGATACGATTTTATCAAGAAGGAAAAGATATTTAGTATTTCCCGAAGGGAGTTCATTACAATTAGGTAAGTAGTACTTTTTTTTTCGCCTTATATTGTATAAAGAATTTTTTAGTTTGTGAATATGTATGGCCGATAGTTGGTCAACCAAATATTTGGGTATTAGCAATTTCAGCTGCTTTAGCTTGGCAATTACCAAGTAAACCAGAACATTTCGGTTTATTAAAGAAGTTAAAGAAAGAAGGAGAAAAGCGAATAGATAAATTTACAAAACAAAATCAATTAATTACATATCAAAAGAATCCAATTTTACCTTTAATTCCAAACACACCTTTAACGCAACAAAACTTCATCCCATGGAATTACAACACCTTTTACACAAATACAACTTATAACCCACCTTGGTATGCTAAAGAGTGGCGAAAACCGTATCAAAAAATCAAATATCAAAAGAAACCATATTTATACGATGAAACCAATTATTATAACCATCCTTTATATACCAGATTACATAGGATTAGTAGAAGAGGATTATATCCCAAAATAGAACACTTTCTTACAGCGTAAGTTTTTTATTTAATTTTATTTATTTTAAATGTATTCGCTCTCCTTAAAAAAAAGTTGTTTTTTGAATCACTTAGTGAAAAATCTGAAGAACCCTTCTGTGATACCTAAAGTGATTTTCGTATCGTGGCCATAAAACGGTCTCCGGTCGAAGTAATAAAAGTTTACTGTCGCGTAACCATAACGTAATTATTTCCAGGCAAAAGAAAGATGGCAAAGCATGTCTGTTAAGGGCACTGTGCGAAGTCAATAGATATCCCGAGGGAAAAGGCTCTTTCATACAGGAGATCATAAAAACCATATTCAGGTAATAAAAATATAATCTCGAAAATCAAAGTAACTACTTGAAAAAAAAGGTCTCCTTGTTATTATATATACCATAATAATTTAAACAATCATATCTTCTTTCATTGTAGGAATCATAAAATAATTTATACCTTAAATTAAAGCTCAAAATGTCTTCTATAATATAATTTATAAGAAACTGTATGTTTGATGATAAAATTTGGAGAAAGAATTTTTTGAAGAAATTGTCAAAGAAGTTGTGTCGTGTTCAAAAAATCATATCTTCTTTAATTGTAGGGACTACAACATGATTTATATATTAAATTAAAGCTTAAATTGTCTTCTTTAAAATGATGTATAAGAAGTTATATGTTTGATATAAAAATTTTGGAGAAAATAATTTTTGAAGAAATAGTTGTAAAGAAAAGTTGGGTTGAAAAATTAAATTGAATTCAAAAAAACATATTTCCTTTAAATGTAGGAATTATAAAATGATTTATATATTAAATTAAAGCTTAAATTGTCTTCTTTAAAATAATATATAAGAAGTTATATGTTTGATATAAAAATTTTAGAGAAAATAATTTTTAAAGAAATAGTTCTAAAGAAAAGTTGGATTGGAGAATTAAATTCAATTCAAAAAACCATGTTTCCTTTAAATGTAGGAGTTATAAAATGATTTATATCTTAAATTAAAGCTTAAATTGTCTTCTTTAAAATGATGTATAAAAAGTTATATGTTTGATATAAAAATTTTGGAGAAAATAATTTTTGAAGAAACAGTTGTAAAGAAAAGTTGGGTTGAAAAATTAAATTGAATTCAAAAAAACATATTTCCTTTAAATATAGGAATTATAAAATGATTTATATATTAAATTAAAGCTTAAATTGTCTTCTTTAAAATGATATATAAGAAATTATATGTTTGATATAAAAATTTAGGAGAAAATAAGATTTGAAGAAATAGTTGTAAAGACAAGTTGGGTTGGAGAAATAAATTCAATTCAAAAAACCATATTTCCTTTAAATGTAGGAGTTATAAAATGATTTATATCTTAAATTAAAGTTTAAATTATCTTCTTTATAATGATATATAAAAAGTTATATGTTTGATATAAAAATTTAGGAAAAAATAATTTTTGAAGAATTTATTGTAACATATAAACATTTGTATTTTTTTAGGAATAAACCTAGTCATGTAGATGAAGATATAGATGAATACGATCACGCTACGTTACACGAAGAAGATTGCCGAAAAATGTATCCAACTTGTACATACGATTAATAAAAATTGACATGTAAAAAATAAAATGTTTCATTCTAAATTCCTGAATATTCTCTAATCAATCATTCAATTTGCAATTTAATCGAGATCCTCGTCTCGATTCGTTAGGTTTGTATTGGAGTTGGGAATTGATGCGTTACGAGAGTTAGAGTCAAGTGAAAATTGGTGTACGTATTGATTAAAACTGGAAATATACGATAGTATCCATCAAGCGAAATGGATTTGGATTTATTTTTCTCTTTTTTTTTTGTAATTTTCTTTTTAATTCAATTTTGCGAGGAAAATTTTTGTTCGATTGAAAAATGTCGAGATTAACTTGGATTAAGTAAATCTAATTCCGTCCGATATAGGTATGTGCATATATTTTCATTTTGATATGGGAACGTTAAACTGTATAAATCATAATATAAAATTTATGACTCTCGCCGGTAACGCGTTTCGTTTAACATTTACCCTAAAACTGTTCGCAAATGCGAAACCGGAAATTGATCGAAATGGACTCTGATTATTTATTATTATTGCACAACCCAACTTTATATCGCGTGGCTTTACAAGTTATTTAATTACATTTTCCCTCTAAAACTTATCCTGTAAATTATCATTAAAATTGTGTTTTATCTAAAATTATGTTAGAAATTAAATTAAAAAGTCAACGTTTTTTGCGGATTTATTTTTTGCATTCTATATTAATCTAAATCAAATTACTTCCCATATTGAGAAATCGCAGGGATATAATTCCGAACAACTCATTGGATTTTTTGTTGCTTTATCGTAAATATCGTTTTCTTCGTTATGACTTGGTCCAAACCTGCAATAATTAAAATCAAATAACCAAGAATTCTTTTAATTAAAAACTAATATTTACCTAAAAACTGCTTTTAAAATTTCTTCTGTAAACGTTCCTTTTCTGTTAGCAACTTCATCGTTAATTTCACAAATTGCTTTTAAAACACAAGATTTTCCATCCTTTTTTTGTCTAAAATTATTTCATACAATCTCAATTAGCTCAAAAATTAATTAAATACATACGCGTTTAAAAACTTTTCGAGTTTTTTAAACAAATCTCTTCTTGTTCTTCTATGATGATGTCCATAAACGGGATTAATATAAGTCGTAATGGGGCGATTATAATTTTTATTGTTATAAACTCGATTAATTTTTGGGTTATTATTTAAAACGTAATATTTTCTTCTTAAACTTTGTTGATAAGACGGCGAATTTTTTAAAAAATTGTTATAATAGCCATTGTTAAAATTAAAATTTGGTTTATATCCCATAAAATTTGGAACTTTTGGTCGATTCAACCCCATTGAGTATTTCTCGTACGGCTCATTATGCCAAAATTCGGTGTTATAAGTAGATTTTAATGGGGTAAATTTCGTTTTTTGGGTATCAATTCGGTTACTTGGTACTTTATAAAACTTTTTACTAAAAAACCCGTTCTTAAACTCTTCAATCGTCGATGGTAACATCCAAGCCAAAGCGGCTGTTGTTGCAAAGACGAATATTGTTTTTGAATAAGAAATTGGAACAGTAAAATCGTAAACTGCCAAAAAAATTAATCAGAATAAAATTATAGAGAGAATAACTGTTAAAGTACAAACCTAATTGCAAAGAACTTCCCTCTGGAAATAAGAGATACCTTCTTTTTCTCGATAAAACCGTGTCTGTTTGATTTAATCCCAAAGAAAATCCGTTTAAAACTAACAACATCAACACTGAAACGTTCTTCATATTTACAACTCAACTAAAAATGATTGTTGTTGGTACAGGATTCTAGTCCAGCGATGATGCGGTGTTAATTACAAGAACTGTTAACTCAGCGAAGGAAAAATTTTATATTTTTCCCGCTCCCGATTTGCATTGTTTAATTTGCCTGATTCTTAAATATTAATTTGCGCTTAATTAAAAAATATCCGTTATTATTTAAACTAGTTGTTATCGACGAAAAAAAACCTTCTAAAATTCCAAATTGAATAGGTCAGAGGATCGCTAATCTAACCAAGAATCTCATTTCGTGTAACGAAATTAGTTACCGAAAGATCCTATCGAAATAAATCTTGAGAAAAGCTCGTTACCGTTCTCTATCCAATCGTTTTCCTTTTTATCCTAACGATATCATCTCGATTAAATCAAGTTTATCGGTTAACAAGATCCAAACACAATAATACTATAATTGCAACCGAGAATTTATTTAAAACCAAATTTACAAAATGATGGATTGAAATGGAGATATGATACGAATAAAAAAAATCGGTTAAAATCTCATTTACCCCCAACGCGCCACAAATCTGTTTTAGTCGATTCCACGATATTCTCCCCTTCTAAACAATTTTTCATCGACGAGGAGAAAAAATCGATTCTGCAAACGAAGCAACATTCATATTTACAACTTAGATAATAAATTTCATTTTTATCGGCATCCATTATTCTTTAATACGGCATAAATTGCACCACGTGTTATATTTACTATGGGATAAAACGTTCGGTAATAATGTGAGTATTGAAGTGTAAATGAGAAATTTGAAATATTTTAATGCAGAAGTATGCCAGAAGTGTTAAGTTATCTTCAACCAATATCTAATCAAAATCAACCCAACCCTAAAGCAACATCTATTCACCTGTAAGCAATTAAGGAGTAGTTTTATATTGGCAGGTACTAGTTTTCCTAGCAGTATACAGTTATGTTCTAATAATACTTATTCTTCTGCAAGCCGGATCTGCGGATTAAATAATATCTAATCAGCTGTCTGCAAAACTCTTCTGCAAGCAGAAAGCAGGCTTCTATTATCTATTAGTAATTTTCTTAGCAGTATCTAATCTTCTGACAACTGTTTATAATCTTCTGCATATAGTAACTAGTCTCCATTAACTAAGACTACCAGCAAAATTATTCTTTGTATAGTTCCCATAAAAAATGTTGCACCATATTTGTTACTCCTCCAAGATGATCATAAACTTTTTTTTTAAATGACGCTTGCTGATAATGATTAATATCGGAAATACGTCGAGTTAATATAAAATAATAGTCACAATTTTTTTGTAATTTCACTAAAAAATATCTACTGTAAATTGCAATGTATACGATGTGAACGAAAAGGAAGCTGAAGATGAAGCTGTACGTCCCGTTTATCTCTCAGCGAAGGCGATATTTTATAATCAGGCGGGCGCCGACTTTCTGTCTCATTGGTTTATCGACTAGCGGAGACACGTTCACTCGTCTCACTTCCTCTAACTTAAAATATCTCATCCTTTCCATCCCTCGTAGTACCCCACGTTATCAACGTCATAGTGGAGCGCCTGCATAAATATATTGGTGACCCGGAAGGACGCGGTTTGCTTTATAAACATGGAAAGTTTGTGTTTCCATCGCATTTTTATACATTTTCGGGATAAAATTTAATTTTAATAACACATCAAATTATGGTTTGGACGTCAATTCAGGTAAATATTGAAGTTAATCATATCAATACATGTAAATAGGCTATTTCAAAAGTCCGGGTTTTGCTTACCTAAACAATTATTTTAAATGGCAATAACAAAATTTGCGTATAATGACATATATCGATCGTTAGCACATTCAGCACATTTGATTCGAAATGCTCGGTTTCAACTTTCATTCAAATGAGACCGTCCTCAGGCACCGGATGTCGGTTACTTCCGTAGACGGGCGATATTCTATTGAAGTAAAGGGGTTGTATAGGGGGGTTGGAGAATTTGCCGGGGAGAAAAAAAAGGATCGAAACGCAGCAAGTTTTCAATGCGACGTGTTCCGATGAAAAAAAGCGTAGTTTATTAAGAAGAAATGAATAATTTCAAAGACATAATTTATGAAATTTTCTATTTTAGCTTCTTAACATCTCGTACATACAACGAAAACCCATTCTTTTCGCACGTTTTCAACGATCGATTTCCTGTACGCGCTCGAGATGTATTATGCTAGTAGGTTATGCAGCCGTTACGTACCATTTATCACACATTATGCTCTGGTTTTGATGGAAACTCATTCACTTTTTTTTTTGATTTTGAGTGACTCAGTTTTTTGGGTTATACACTTTAAAATAAAATAAATTGCTTTGTTGGATAAGATTTAGGTACAATGTAGAATATGTTTTGTATTCAGCTCTTTATTATAACTTGTATGGGAAGAGTAACTCTATGTAAATGAGTTAACAAATTAGAAACTTTTAATAGACTCTGGGAGACGTACATAGTTGGAAATGTTCCTAAACCAACCGTGGTTCTAGAAACACTGTACGGGAGCACAAAATAATTGTTAATTGATTAGTTCTGCGCTCGGGAGAAGAACTTGTCCCGAACACGGCCGGCAAAGTAATTAAACTGGGGAATTAAAGGCAACGGGTTATAAATGAATTGGTGCCGGATTGTTTCGGAAAGTTTGCAACTTCCGTTCTGGGTCGACTAAGGTAAAACCGCGGTAATTATTACTTTTACCGTACTTTTCTTTTTTAAGTATTATTCAAATTAATTAATAAAAGAAACAGTTAAACGTAACACTAATTTTAGAATCCGTTAAACGTTAAATTCTTACTAAGTGAGTTATCAATTTGCACCTTAGTGTAAAGCTTGAGAGGTGTTTAAACTCGGTTATATTTTTTTTTAAATCCAAATATTACACATCGCCCGTTTCACATGGAGAGGATAATATTTATAGTTTTATCGATGGGGATTTTTATGACCTTAGGCCTACAGGAAAGGTCTAGAAATAAGGACGACGTCTTGTCTCGTCGTAAAAGATACGTAGTGTTCCCTGAAGGATCCACCCTGTCGGTGAGTTATTTAATATCCCTTAATAGATTTCCTTTCGCGTTTTGGCCCTTATCTACAAACGCCAGAAAGCCGCGTACGAGCAAATTTATCCAGTATCCCGAACTTTAATAATCCCGACTTGAATTAATTTCGACCTTACGGGGTCGATGTTTGAGTTGGCAAAGTTCGTTTGGCTTTCAGGTGGCCATATGCATGACTGCGCAAACGATTTTACCAGAGCAAATCTTCACCGAAGGTCTCAACTGGGGTATTTCCTATGAGTTACCGAATGACACCTCATCGATTAAACAATTTTTTAAACCAAAACCCGTTTTGCAAAGAAGACATCGAAGAGATTTGTATCAAAAAATGGAGGTTATTATGAACTCGTAAGGAAAAGAAGATTTCTGTAGAGGTGTCATATTTAACTCGTAGCCTTTTTTAGCATGGGTTTCGATGGTCGTTCTTGTATCTTGAAAGCATTGTGTGAGACTACTAGAAAGCTTATGCCCCGAGGTAACACCATTGTGGAAGAACTCTTGAGGATCGTTTTCAGGTACAAAAATTTCCCCTTTTGTAATATTGTAATAAATCGAAGCTACTTTAAAAGAGACCCTTTGAGTTTAGATAAAAAGAAGTGGGTTCAAAAAAGGGGGGAATAAGTTAATAAAAATTCTTTAAGTCTCGATATCAATTTGCCGGATACGTCTGTGAGAGTTATGAGCCAATCTCGCTGCAAACACGGCCGGGGCGTATCTCTTATAATTTATCAGTGCTATAAGTTCTCGGAGAATTCCGTGATTAACTACGCGCTTAAAATAGCTGGCTAAAAACGTTCGAGTTTCGTGGTTGTTCTCTCCCCAAATTTCAACGAGAGTTCTACTCGCATAGTTGGAATTTAATCCTCACGTTGCAGATTTCCCCAACAGCATCTGCTGAATTCTGAACCCGAGGATCATCGCATCTACCACTGGGCTTCTCGAATGGGGAAAGACTCCGCGAAGGAGTGCACCGACATGTTTCCAGGATGCACCTTTTCTTTGATCGACATGGCACTCGGAGAGTATTCCAGTTACTTTTAGAGACTTAATAAAATTGCTTTAAAATAAACTTTTTTATTTCACCCCAAAACAAAGATCCATCACATTCTGTAACATTTTCGTAAAATATTCACCATTTTAAATAATAAATAACCTGAAACATTTTGACGTACCGAACAGCACTTGAGATCACTTGAGATCACTTGCGATCACTTGAGCTACTTGAAAAGGCCTCGTTTTCTTATTAAATATTAACGGAATGTTGGTTGCAACTCAAGATGCATTACTTTATCTCAAACTTAAATTTTTGAGTGATACGAATCAACTCGAGACGAATTTATCCAATTTGTGAGGGAAATAGTGTTTACTTAAAGTGGCTTCTTCGCGTGTGGGTTAAAATCGACCGTTTTCTCGTTATATCGCGCTCGAGCCTGGTTTCCCTTTATAATTTATACTTTATGGTAAATAGTCTACCGGAACGGGGTACGAAACGAAATTGGGGCGCAACCTTCGACCTGCAAACCCTAATCTTGCCGCATCCCTCCGGTAAAAGTTTGAAAACACTAAAGCTTTTATAGCGGGAAGTGTGGAAAAGTTCATTTACTTGTTTGATTATGCATGTGGTAATCGAAAACTATAAAATTATAATTTTATTCGAGGTAAATATTAAATTGAAGTACCTTTAATTTTAATTTTTAATAAATTAATTGTGACACAAATTCGCCACCAAACAAAGGATACATAGATATCTCCGAACACAAACTTGTACCAACCCGACTAATTTCAACCATGTAAACGTTTCGTTTGTTGTATTAAGAGTGTGGTCCATCCTCAGGGCTTATCACCCCGGAACGGTGTCGGGCGCAAGGTTTTTCCGCAATGTCCCACCCGAACGTTAGGTATTGACTTTCCAAGTTTCGCCGCGCGATCGTGGCGCCCTCCTCGGCAACGGGAGCGCCAAAAGACGGATGCTGCACCCAGTAGCTAGGCATGTTCCAACCTGCGCGGACGCAAGTTCTGCGAACGACCACCGTTCTGTGATACGGTTCAAGCGATGGACGAACAAGCGGTTTTCTGCTCGATGACGAGACCGCTTTTGACATAAACATGTAACAGGTGAGTCTAATCTTTATATTGAACCGGTTCGAACTTGCATTATTTGGCGGTTTATGTTAAGTTTTGCCAGAAAATGATCGCGGGTTGGGAAAGGGCGTGCACGTTCCCTTGTTTTTAAACCGTAAACTTAAATAAATTATTATACCATTTAGAAATTGATAAAATTAAATTTTGTATCAAACTTTTTTTATTTATCAATTTTTGAAATCACCTTTGCTTATTAAATACTCGACACATTCAATCCAGTTACAATCAATCTTCTACACTCCGATGATTTTTCACGACAAATATGAAAGATGAGCCACGATCTGTCTCAATAAATTTTATATTTCCCTTAGATTTCTTTTTGTATATAACATTTAATGTTACACCCTCGGTGGTTGCGTTGTGTTTTACGTCGACCCTTTATATCTCGCTTTATTATTGTAGGGATACCGCTTTATAAACCCATAAAAATATTTACGCCCCGTTAATTACTATACATTTTCTGTGATGATTATACTTTTATGTGCGATTTATTTAAAAGTTAAATTCTAAAGCTGTTTGCGCATCGAAATTGTTTCATAAATACTTCAAAGAATACAAAACAAAAGTTTTCGTTGGGTTGAAAACCTTATCTAAATATTTAACGATTAATTACAGTCGACCCCTTGAAAGAAGATAAGAAGTAATATTCATCCAGGCACATTATTCTAGAGACCCCCTCGGGGGGGTTCGAATTAGGTTATAAACTGGTCGCCGTCGGGGGAGTCAACCCGAAAAAGGCGAAGATGAGAGAAAGCGAAAGAAATCTCCGAAATTTAAATTTTAAATTAACCGACGGACGGTTGTTGTATACGAATACGTTGGGAGGCGCTCGATAAAATTAAACGGGCGTTTGACATTAACCCGGAGCTCTTGTTTAACTTCGAGTGCACTCAGAGGTTGCCGCGATCGTTATTTTAAGGGTTTCCATCTGTTTGGGCTTAACGTTCGACGTGAAACGAAACGGAGGCGGTAAAATAGAAAAAAGAACCGTCACCGGCGCCTCCACCATTTCTGCTCCGTCAAATTAACCCAGCGTTTACGGGCGGATGCCACTACCGGATGCCAACCGGGGGGTTCTCGCCGTTCCAAAAGGAAATTGATTCATCACGATACCGTCATCACGTCCGTTGATCGGCATTTAACCGGTTCACTTACACCGGATGTTAACACCAACAGGTTGTTTCAAAATAATTACACCTAAATTTAAAATTTCTTCTAATTTACATCTACATCTAAATTAACCACTTAATCTTAAACGAGAATACACCAACACCCCTAGGGATCCATATCAGCTCAATTAATAACTAACGAGCTCCAAATATACTATAGATTGAATATTAATTGGCTCCATGTTTAAATTAAACTTTAAAAGCAACTCGGTTTTCGATCGAAAAGGCAACAACGAGAACATTAAATTAAAACAAGCTGGGAGAAGGGTTTCTGATTTAAGCCAATTTTTGATTAGGTGTATCTCATCGTTTTTTTTTTCTTTGTCTCATTTTTCGTCTTTGCTTTTCGAAGGGTACCGGATTGAGATCATCGATTTCTTGAACATCCGGCGACGAGAAAAACTACGAAAACTTTGCCCTCCGATATGAACTTGGGGACGGCCGAAAATAACGAACCGGGGTTTTGATAATATAAGACTATAAGTTTATGATCTTCCCCAATTGGTTGGAAATCCGCAAAGAAAACAACTCCCCAAAATAAAATAATAGGAGATTCGTAAACAATAACATCATATTTCGTTGAAAAAATTTATCGCAGACGCCTTCAACAAACTCCTTTTTCAACACCATCCCGCATCCGTGAAAAATCAATAGGGAAAAGAAAAAGCCCTCCGCGCCCAACGAGTCCAGTCTTCTTCACGTCCCCTTTGTTTACTCTTAAGGTTACGCTGCGAAACCCCGCCCATCTTCTAACGAAACCTAACAGCAACAACGACGAAAAAAAAAGAAAAGGATGCTTTTAGTTCAACGATGTGTACAATGTTTCGAAATTTTTGACACAATCAATTTAGATGAGTAATCAAAACTGATTTTTCAATCAAATATAACTTGAAACATTTAATTTCAAACCTACAAGCTTCTTATTGATTTAAGAGATAAAGCTTAAGATTAAGCTAAGTAAGCTTTCGTGTTTGTGGTGGTAAAACGAGGTTAGTAAATGCTTTCTCTCATCTCTAAGGGAAAGTGTGTGTAATCCTAAGTTGTTGTAAATTTAATGCACTGGATTTCTGTGTTCGGTGATTTAAGCACTTAACCAAATTTCCACCTATGTAAGTGTTGACACAATAAAACATTATAACAAAATAACTAATTTATAGCTTTCACAATAATAGAAAGCGACAGAAGCGAGCACTGACAGAAACTCACCAGTCTCAAAATTAGGAATGACAGCAAATAAGTTCTCAAGGGTCTAAAATAAAGGAACACCATAAACAATCTTAGCCTAGTCTCGACCACTGCTAAGTTCAAAGCTGGATGGGTTTCTTTTATTCCGGACACCCTATTTCTGAGCAGAAATTTGCGAGTAGATGTATCAGTTAACTGACACCAAGCTTTGAAACGTCTTCTGAAACGAGATATTCCCCTTGGAATATCTTGGAATAACTTGGAAGCATTAATAGGGTTGGTAATTATCACCATGCATCTTGGAGATCAATTTCTCATCAATGGAGACGAAGGTCATTAACAGAAGAGCCTTTAAATAATAAAGCATCACGTTAAATAGCAAATTCTTTTTCCATGAACACTTCAGTTTGGTCAGAAACAAAACTGGAAATGTGATCACCATGCAATTTAACCCAAAGTAGCTTTGAACGACAAAACTCGTCGCTCTGTGTATTGCCTGCCCATATCATACGAAATCTAGTCCTTTAGCCACGCAAAAAAGTAAAGATGCGCCGAGGGCTGTTTTGGTTAATCCAATCGGTGTTGGCTTATATGAGGAGAATGTAATATAAAAGTGCCTAAGACAATCGACCCACTATGAGTAACGGAAACAGAAAAAGATTTATTTTGAAAATATACTATATATAGAATTACCATTCTTGTACCAAGAATATAATTTTTACAAATTTTTGTGTACCTCGTTCATTTTGAAAATGTGGGGAATTAAAATTATATTTTTTATGTCGTTGTATTAGTTGTCTCCTTCCAAATGCGATGGAGCTGATGCTCGCATGGGTCTTAATCGGAGCATGGTTTCCCATGGTGTTCACCAACCCGGACGCCAAACGGCTCTACGATGACCTATTGTCAAATTACAATAGGCTTATCCGGCCGGTGGGTAACAATTCTGATCGTCTGACCGTCAAAATGGGTTTGAGATTATCACAACTAATAGACGTGGTAAGTTTTTTCTTTATCTCAATTTAAATTAATCAAATAAGCCCCGGTAAAGTTTAAATGAGAATGTTAACTTTTCAGTTAGTATCTGTAATTTATCCTAAATCCCAATAGAACGAAATTAAAAGACGTTAAGTTAAAAGATTGGTCCCATCGAGATCGTACTACAAGGAAAGTGCATTAACTGCAAAGTACCGTCACTTTCCCCATCCTCGTTCAATTAGCGTTCGAAGGAGGAGAATGCAAGGAGTGTTTGGTCATTCTTGGGGCGCTTCTGAGTTTAGAGTACGACACCTCTTTAGTGTTTCATTAAGCGAGATGATGAACGGCGGTATAAGTTATCTCGTGCTGCCGGGAGTGATGTTGCATCTTTAATAAGCCGATTTACTCATTTCTGTCCTTCTCGTACACGCGTGTATTTGCTGGGTGTTGAGCTGCCAATAGATTAACCGACAACAAATCGATAACTAAGTACATACGCAGATGGAAACGTCACAGAATTTGAAATAACGCAGTGAATAATAAAGAAGGTTATAAAGAACCTAAGTTGAATAATTTATACTAAAATTTACCGAGAATATTCAATGAATGGTTTTGTTAGTCGCTTGGTAATCTAAGGATACCGTCCGTTACATGAATATTTGATGATATATCGGCGCATATTTCTGCATCCATTAAAAGTTACTCCAGTTCCGGTACCCGAGGTTCATAATTACACGCAAACTCGAATATCTAGCTTTGTACCCGCAACATCCTAGCATCTGAAGGAACAATGGACGACGCCTAATTAATCTCCAACCCCGTCCCATGCTAATTAAGGTATTTAATTAAAACTTCTTCGTCCTCGGAGGATGTTCTCTGTAGCGAAAAGCAAAAAAAACACAATTGTACTTGAAAATCAAGTAAATTCTTCACTTTTAAACAAGATGACAGAATTTCTCCTACAAAAATAAAACTTTTCTTTTAAATCTTGAATTAGAAAAATTTAAACAAAGATTTCTTATTTTCATTTCAGAATTTGAAGAACCAGATCATGACGACGAATGTTTGGGTGGAACAAGTAAGTTAATTAATGAGTATTGATATTTTAAATAAAATTTGTGTATTAGGAATGGAACGATTACAAGCTCAAATGGAACCCTGATGATTACGGAGGTGTCGAAACATTGCACGTCCCTTCAGAACACATATGGCTTCCGGATATAGTACTGTACAACAAGTAAGTCAGAGTCGCGTTAGAAGTGCAAATTGGGGCGTGGTACATGCTAACTAAACCACCCCTTGCAAATTAAATCGACAATCAACCCCCCTCGCGTTAACAAGGATTAGAATAACAAACAAGACAACGTTGAATTTAATTATCTCATTAAACCATCAAATATTATAATTAATCTAGAAAAAACACAAACTCATACACACTACTTAACCCATCTCTTCGACTTTTTTCGCGACAAAAATCCCCTTTTTGAAAGCTACTTTCCATACGTCCGCCGCTTTCTACCTAATACGTTCCCCGGGGAGTGCTGAAACGCGCTACAAAAGGGCATTTCGAACGTGTACACACACTCACTTGCCTCCCAGTTTCTATTTTTGAAGAATACTCGGGGAATTGAAGCGATGTAATGTACCAACGACGATTTTACACTATTTACTACAATGGAATTCCTAAAGAAAGAACTTTTTTGAAAAATGATATACTACATAACATATAAAGGTAGAAATTGGCCAATTAAAAAAAACCTTTTAAAACCAATGCTTCTAGGTGAGGTACAAAAAGAAGAAAATAAAATAGTATCCTTAGTTGGAGTTGATTAACTTAACGGGATAAAGTAACCATTGCACATCTTCCGTTGGTGGTCATATCACGTACTCGATTACGTAATGGTCCGGTAGTGCAAACCGGACGCTCGAGTGCCGGAGAAATTGCAATTTTAACTCATTCCAGGGAAAATGGAGCGTCACGATCGCTTTAATTGACGGGCGCTAATCTCGTTCGGACAACGCAGAGTAATTACTGACTCAATAATTAGCGAGTCCATTGTTACATTATAACGAATTCACTCACAATTTTTTTATTATGCGTTACAAAAAAAATACTTTATAATCCAATTTTAACAAGCTGCCACAACGTGTAAATCAATACACAAATCGATTTGTATCGATTTGTATCGATATTTCTGTGTGATGTTGAAGTTTCCTGCTAAACTAACGGATAAATCAATTGTTTTCGCGAAACGCTTCCGTCAATTGACAGCCGCTTTAACTCGGGCCATAACGTATCATTTCGTTCGGAAAAGCTCATTGGAACTGTTGGCCGGATCCAACTGGCGGTAGACAGCGAACAAATTGGAAAGTTTCGTGTTGAAGTACGCGGCCCTCCAGAACACACCCGAAACATTTAGAAAACTCCAACACAAAACGCGCAACAAAAAAAAATAATTAAAAGTACTTCTTTTTCTTCGGAATTTCTTGCAGCACGTTTTAATCCCGACTTTTTTTCTTTTCTTCGTCTTCTTCATTTCATCATCTTCATCGTAGCGCCGACGGGAATTACGAGGTGACAATAATGACGAAAGCCATTCTGCACCACACCGGCAAAGTGGTGTGGAAACCACCAGCCATCTACAAGTCCTTCTGCGAAATAGACGTCGAGTACTTCCCTTTTGACGAACAGACGTGTTTCATGAAGTTTGGATCTTGGACTTACGACGGATACATGGTAAGTAAATTCTATTTTCTTTATTTGCTCAAAGATTATTGAATCCAATGGAAAATCTATTTGTCGAAGAAATAAAAGAATCACCTTTTTCTCGCAATATAAGTAGTTTCTGGAAATTCGTATTTGTGTCACGTAGAGAATTTCCTAAGGGAAAACTTTAACCAACTACGTTTTAGAGATGACGCTATTTGGCGATTGAATCATTTAAAATGTGCCTTAAAATACATTTTATTTATATCATTATTATTTAACGTTAATCATTTCAAATAGTTTCAAAAAATAAAAATGTTAGAATCGTTTACTTTGTTTCACGGTATTAATTTGAGGTTTTGTCAATTTCACAGAATCCGAGTTAATAATAAATGTAGTTTTAAATGCCACTCTAATTTTACAAGGTTTCACTACCTGTCACCAGTAATCCTCTGTGGTATTCAACATATTAAAGTTTTCCATTTCGCTATTCAACTGTTTTGTGTGCATAAAACATATTGTAAAAAATAACTATTTTAATCCTCTTTACTGACACAACAATAGATGTTTCTATATAATCCGGCTTTTTTGATTAATAATCATTTAATATCACTGAGAGGTATCTTTTTGAATATAAGTATTATTTTTTGCAATTCAAATCTTATAATTAAGCACTTCAATCATAATAAAGCGAAGTTATAGATCGTTGTCAAAAGTCTTGGGTTGATATTTACTTTCTTAGCTGATATCTTCCTTATAATTAGGGATAGCGAAAAACTAAATGCACCACTTGAAAGCTTGAATCTTTCTCTATCTAAAATCGGGTTTTCGTCTGCCGATAAGTTGATATTAAGATCAATAAAAAATGAAGAACACCGCGCTGTACTTAAAATAGCTCAAAATTACCAAACTTCAAGGCCTTGTGCAATTGTTACGAAACCGAATTTTAAAAAACTGTTATCACAGTCAGAAAGGGCGCTCCTTCAGCTATCTTAATCCGGGTTTTCGTCGGTCAATATCTATCGGCGTCATGCTTAAATCACCCTTAATGTCCATCCCTACACGCAGAAACGCTTAAATACTCTTCCTCTAAACAACTTTCTTATTTGATAGGGAGAAAACTATAGAAACATATCTATCTTATTGAAAATTTTCTGCTCTTTCTAGTGGTGTATAACACGCGGCGATCACGCGCTTGCACACGTACATTTTTGGCCAAAAACTGCTAAATTCACACGTTTTAG